TATTTAAAATAAATATGTTTAAAAGTACTTTAATTTTAAATTAAATTTTTCTTGTTATAGAAATTCAAGGACAGTTGGCAGACTACAACTTAGTTGTTGATAAAATTAATACAGACACTGAAAAGGGGGAAGTAGATGCTGAATGCCAGGAATTACAAGCTCGTAACAAACAAGAAGCTCACAATTTAGAACAATTATTTGCTCAATTCAAGCAGAGAGAGACACATATACAACAGTTAGAAATGGAAATTGAGCAGGTATTTAAAAATTCCCTCCTTGAAGCATGTATACACTACTTCTGCATCCCAAGACAAAATGTATTCAAAACGTATTTTATATTTCAGGAACGTCATATGACAGACAATTTACTGCAGGCTATGAGCCCTCCACACAGAGAGCGATATTCAGAATTGCAAAATACAAATGTACAGTTGCAACAGAGAATGGAATCTTTACAACAGCAGTTAGATTCTTTGAATGCACGCAAAAACTCTTTGGAAGATCAGTTGGCTGTGTCCCAAGTAAGGCACCTTGGTGCTTCTGATTAATGGGATATTCATTCCATGTGGAATAAAGAACAAAATATTATTTACAAAATAAAAATGAACAGAGTTTGAACTTTGGCAAATTATTCACAGTCAAAACTGCTTCATCACTTACATAATTTAAAATGCATATTATAAGAAATATTCAATTTCATTATCATAAAAACAAACATAAATTCTATTGGACTTTGTGAGATCCAACAATAATGTTCAACTCTTACACGATTTGCAGATGAAACAGGAAGCTGTGAGACTCCATCATAAACTTCAAGAAGCAGAAGAAAGAAAACAAACTTTAATAGAAGAAGAAAAGAATCGTTCAACTCCAGCTCAGGAAAGGGAACAATTACTTCAGAGAGTTAAAGATGATAATGCAGAAATGGCCACTATGGAGAGACAAATTGGCGAATTGAAAGAGTTACTCAACAAGAAACAAGATGAACTCGAGCAGATTGAGCAGGTTGAGAAAATACTTTTCTTACTATTAGAAACTAATCATGGTGAATGAACATGGAAATTATTTATTGCACTTTACATAATTCTTTAAACAAGTGTAATGCAAGATCTTTTATTTCAAGAAATGCCCAATGAATAATGAAAGTTGTTTGTTTGGTTGGTTTTTTTTTTTTTTTTTCCTCCACAGTAGAATATTGCCAATTTTACATCTGGGAAAAACTAGGAATTCAACTCGTTAAATAGAGATTGTCAGCACGTGTTCACTTCACTAAATGGAGATTTCCAGCTTGTTTTTATTTGATCTTATTGTTTGGTTTCATGTTGCATGTTTGAACACTTAGTTATTGGTGTACTACAGAATTCTGCTTCTCAAGGACTATGGGATAAATCAGATTACTTATTTCTTCAATGCAATTTGGCTCATGTATTTTCTGGGTTGATGGATGAATTGATTTTTTTTATGCTAACATTAAAAAGAGGTTCAAATAATTTTCTTGTGAAAACTTCATTCACAGACATATGAAGTTCTATTCCTCCTTGTCTTCTTCATCCTCTTCAAATTCACTATTCTGTCTAGTTTTTTACAAAGATAAAGTGCTTATCTAATGGCCCTGACAATGTTTATTTTTTGGCATCTTTGGTTAAGTGAAATCCTCAGCATTATCTAAAATGTCAGTTTTCATTTTTTAACATCTCTTGTGTAATTAAAACTTGTTAACAAAGCTTGAATATCTTTCCTCATTGGCCACTTTTTCCTGTGGTTATTCCCACTGCAAGTTCCTTTGCAGTTTTTTGAAAGGGACTAGTTTACCCAGCTTCTCCAGAACCTTTAACTTCTTTTCTTTAAACCATTATCTGAAAAACTTAACATGCTGGTGATATTTGTGTTATTTACAGCTTTGTAGTTTAACTTAAGTATTGTGTCACAATGTTGGAAACTTGCCAAAAAAAATTTTCTAAATAGCAGTTTTTAGATTTCCCTTTTGTGGCAATGGAATCATTTTTGTTCTGAGGTAGAATATTGCATAAATGATCAAGAGAAGACGGGAAAGCAGGAAATACATGACATTTACAAAGTATGGCCAAAACGGAAGCGATTAGTTATAGCAATCAGCACCTAAAAATTAATATTGCTTATAGTTGCCTAGACAAGATCTTCCAAGAAACCCTTGATATTAAAGACATTGAGTCAATTATTCTGTTCATTTAGAACATAGAAGTAATTTGACATAATTCAATCAATTGAGATTTTATGGCACCAATTTTTTTCACCAAACCAGATTTTATGGCACCATTAATTTCTTCTCTATCTTTCTTACAACATTATCCTTTTCCTATATAATTTTTTAATGTACATTAAAATGAGGAGCTTCATAGTTTTTGATTTGCTGGTGAGAAAGAACCACTCAAAACCATGCACCTCAATTCAATTTCATAATTTATTTATAGAACATTAAATACGAAGATCTTTTTTTAGGATTTGGATGAAAGTCAAAGTGAACGTCATCAGAAGTATAGAGAACTGCGTCGCAGAGAGGAAACGATGGAACAGTTTTTATCAGGTTTTGAGGAGAGTAAGAATCAAGAACTGGCCAGAATCACTCAATTAGAAGGGCAAATTGTGAATTCCCTGCATCAAATTAGTAAAAATTTAAATCATGCTGGACATCTTCCCAGTGTAGATGAGTTTTCTGCTATAAAAGATAATTTATCATTTAAAGAAGGGGAACTAGAAAAATCTAAGAAAACTGTGGAAGGCTTGACAAAAGAACACCATCAATTGCAAGCTAGTCTTGAGAAGGTTTGTATTTTGAAGAAAAGTCAAATAAAACATTCCAATTCAAAAAAATATATAAATATAAAATATATATTTTTGTAGGTGGAAGCCCTGGAAGACAAGATTAAATTAGAGATGGAGACATTGAGACAAAAAATGGCAACAATGACCAGTGAAATGTCATCGCTGTCAGATCTTGATAAGTTACGAATGGAAGCCAACAATAAAACATCACAACTTGAAAGAGAACTTAAATTGCTAGAAGAAAAACATGGTCCTGCACAGGATGCAGTGAAAGAAATGCAAAACAAATTTGATGCTCTAAAGGTTTGTAACAGGAATAAAAAGAAACAACCAAATTTAAAATAATTTTTAAATTGTAAACATCTGAATTTTACATTCTTGAAATGTTTTATTTTTGCAGAAACAATTGGATGATAATGAAACCTATGCTCAACTAAATAACTTGGAAAGAAAATTATCCCAACTGGAACAAAATAATTTTGCAATACATGAATACATAGAATCAAAAAGATCAGAAACAGATTATGAGCCACTGAAAAATAAAGTTTATGAACTGGTTCAAGATTACAATTCGTATATCAAAGAATCTTTGAAATAAGCAGTTATTTTGTAAATAAATACTATTACACAGTAACAAAGAAACTGAATGTAAGTGGGTGCATTTTTATTGATACCTTAATACATCTTCTGAACTACTTGTTAATTTGAAACTAATAAAGAACATAATATGAACTACAAAAAATAAAAAAAACATTCTGCTTCATAATCAATATTTCAGAAGATATTTATATTAAAATTTATTTCTCTATTAAGAACATTTTGTACAATCTTTCATGAGTATCACTTTCAAATTTGGGTACACAATTCACTTTCAGTATTTCAGCAAAGCCCTCGTCGGTTGTAGGTTCTATATATTTTTTCCTGCAATGAAAAGGAATCCATTTGTCTATTGTGTTACACATACATATATAATAAAAATAGTGATCATAATAATAATTAAAAACATTTTTTGTGTACCTACATGTATGAATTAATCACCATATCTGTGACTTCCACATGAGTGTCGTCAGTTAGTTCACGAAACTAAAACAAACAAAGATGTTAATTATTTAATAATTTGTATGGAAAACAAATGTGATTCATACAAAATTCCTATTTCATTTTAAAACTTTTGTAATCAAGTTGCATTTCAGATGATGAATAAAAACTTTTTTGAACTTATAAAACTGTATTTCTCAAAGTTTCTCAGAATAATAAATGTCTTATTTCAATTAAATCTCTTAGTTCTTTTCTGACTATCCTTGCATCCCTGTCAAGACAGTTCATCTGCATAAAAGTCATGTTCTACTTCACAGTTCACTGTACACTTTATTACTTCTATGAAGAAGCAAATAAGCATAAGTACTAAAATCTGAATTGCCTTCAAAGATTCCAAGAATTTTTCATCATTCTCACATATTAGAAAATAATAAACAAGAGAAAATGAATCAGAGTTCCGTAGTAAATACATCTTTAAAATCTAAACAATTTGGGAGTGTACTATGTAAGAGTCGAATGCTACAAAATTTCTGACCAAAAAAGCCTCACAAGCCATATCAGTTTCTAAATAAATCTTTTCATTTGATCTAAAAGCTAATAAATGTGTTTCAAACCATAATACTCTTTCTTACCCGATTATTGTGTTTAGCTTGTGCCAAACTGGTGTTTAAAACAAAACACCTACAAGGAACATTGAATTTCTTTGCAGCATTCACAAAGCGTTTCCTTGACTCCTTATCAGGACTTGTGTTATCAACAACAACACTTTTGCCTTGAGCCAATCCTTTCTCCAATTCAGAAACACATTTTTGCCAAGATCCTAATGTATCTCTGTTTACATGAATGTAACCTTTTCTAATTAAGTATGATTTAGCGAAATGACTTTTACCAGAGCCAGGTGATCCAACTAAGATGATCACCTGAAAAAGAAAAAAAAATACACAAATAAATCCCTAGGATGAAACTATACAACAAACCACATCTCTCAACCACACGTACAACCGACCATATTTGAATCTGCGGTTTTAAGTATTATAACCTCAACATTTCCTGTGGACTCACTTCCTGAGAATCAGATGATATACAGGCATCTTCTGGGTCAGTAAGTGGCATATCTTGCAATTTGGATGGAATAAATTCTGGCAAATTATATGGAGCCACTTTGTCCTTCAGAAAAAACTCTTCAGGAGTGTGAAATTTCAAATTCAGATTTAGCGCTAGGAGTCTGTCAGCTGATGAAAAGTCTTTTTTCCTTTTTGGTGCCCAGTTCACTGGTCGGCCTGCAGCATCTCCACAGTAAAAACTATCATCTTTGTTGACAGCTATATTCCTATTGAACTAGAAATGAAATACTTCCATTTACAAGAAAAAAAAGTCATCTTATGGAGTTTAATTACCTACAATAATGTGAAAATCATTAATCAAGATAAAATCTAATAATAAATTCATTACTATTTTTATTATTATTAGCTAACTAAGAACCCATTAAGGGCAAGGGCCTCCTGCGTTTTGCTGGAAATACTGAATGACAAAATAGGGTGACGACGAGGGGCGAAAGGACTAGGATAAAGGTTGGAACTGATTGTGGCATTTTTGAATCCTCCCAGCTTGCCTTATGACTGAGGAAAACCACGAAAAAACCCTGGTCAGGATGGCCCGCCCGGGGATCAAATCCAGTCCTGCCAATTGTGAAGTCATCACGCTACACCACTTCACTCGGTAATAAATTCATGCTCATACCTAATTATACAATGCACCAAGTCATTACCCATTGCAAACATTAAGGTAACTTTGGTTGTGATCTTTCCATTGATTTTAAGTTATGTACCTTTTAATTATGTGTATGATACTTTCTTAAGTGAGTACAAGAGAGCATTATTTCTGTATCAAGTCAAGGTATATTTGGTATTGTTAATTCAATTTGTAAAGTGTTTTTATTAATCTTTATCAGGCATGTCCTTCTTTATTCTTACTAATTTTCAATGTTTTACAAAGAGTAGTGACTTTTGGCCCATCCTGCATATTAAAAAAACATGGTTATAATATTCATCATTGCATCTTAATCATATATTTTGTTTTAAAATTATATTAACACAATTAAATTCATTCCTCATTATATTTATAATGATTTTCAATTAATACAATAATCATCATTATAATTAATAAAACTAATTACAAAAATAAACACACACTAATTAAAATTGTATTATAGTACCTCTTTTAAAAGTGTATTCCACATTCCCGGAGCAGGTTTTCTATATATTCCTAATCCAGTTGATACAAATGCTTGAACTGGCACATTTAACTTGGAAATAATTGCCTCAACTTTCTTTTTAAAATCTTTCACATTTACTCTCCCTCTACCAATTCCTGCTTGGTTTGTCATTATAACAATCTTGTATTCACTTTCCGTTAACTTCTTAAGCTTGTTTGGAATAACCGGATAAGCTATTTTCCAATCATCAGTATTGATTGGAAAAACTTTTCCCGATTTTGTTGAAATTAGAGTTCCATCAAGATCAAAAGCAGCAATCTAAAAAAATGTTTTGGTTTACTTTGTCAGTATCTCATGAACGTAGGAAAAGAAAAGACATATGAGTATTTCATCTCTACCTTGGCCTTCGCTTCACAATCTGATGATGTATATATTAATAATTTTCCTCCGTCTACATTCTTCCAACCAATCAACTTTTCAGGTGATGCACTACCACCACTTGAACTTGATCCCGCAACTTCAGTATCAGTCATTTCTTTATTTTCATTACAGGGGCGTTTTGCAACATTTTCTTCAGAATCACCAAGTTGTCGTTTCTTTTCATTTCCTTCACATGGCAGAGGATCAAATTCAATTCTGTATATAAAATAACCAAGAACCAATTCAATGGTATCTCCATGCTTAAGAGCAATGGATGACTTCTTTTCCAATGCCATGCCATTAACTCCAGATTTATTTGCACCAACATGGGTCACTTTAACAACCCCTTCTTCAACATCTGCTTCTACCTCAACTACAAGCAAAAAGCATTAAATGATAGTTCATATCAAAAAACACAGGGTATAATTAATATAATTGAATCACCGCACTATGAAATACATTGTATAAAATCATCAAATACATTATCATACTTTGAAATACTCAATACCTTGTGATCTGGAGCATATTTTGTGTGTAACTTTAGTAAATTCATTCCTTCCCAGCACCACAGAATGCTTGTGAGGCAACTCTATATCTTCAAATGCTTTGTCCAAAGGACGCAACACACAAGTTCTTAAATGGGCCATAATACTTATAACATGGAATTCTCTGGAGAAAAGACCAAAACGTAATTAGAAAGAATTGAAAATGTCTTATAATAACCAGGGCTTGATTTCTGGCAGAATGTAACAGAACAGAGTTCCAGTACCTCTGGAATAATTATTAAATTATATTATAAACATGTAATTATTTCTAATAAACTAATAATTAATTTGGTATGCGTTCGGATTGAGAAAAAAACCTCGCCATTGGAATGCGGATTTCATCCAAAAAGATCAGCCCACCTATTTCCAACATAATATGCATAGAAAAGAGATAGGAAACACAAACACCTTCTTACTGAGGAATGTTTGGGTCATAATAATACTCAGGTTGGATTGGGGTCAGAAATCTTGTCTGTGGCAACCAGAGTAACGGACAGAAAACATTAATTTATTGGATGGAAAACATTTATTTGTTGGATTTATGGTCCAACATTGAATAATACTCTCAAGGGTTCACTTAGCAAGGTGGCACATTACCACGTTTGTGTTAGAGAATAGCATTTCAAACACAAGAGATGCAGGCAGCTCAATACCCCACAACCTTAACTCTGCCCAATATATTATGGAGCCACAAAGGAGCAATACCAGATGAAAAGGGCAATGAAGGATACTATAAAGATACTGCCTAGAAATAATTAAACAAAGCTTGTTTGACATGGATAGAAATGTGTAATGGCAATCGTGAAGTATAGGGACTGATATTGTATATTGCATCAAAAATATAATTGCATAGTTAGCATAGGAATTCATTGTACGAGAAACAAGAGTTTGAAAATTTTACAATACAAAATTTAGGGCATTACAAATTCATAAAAGGGACATATATTATACCAGACACTTGTTTACAATGATGGAAAAAATTAGAGTAAACAATGAAAATATCAGTCAGCGTTAATAAGTTAAATGCTGAAGAAAAACTGCAGATGAGAAAAGTTTACACTTCAATTTCAAAAGGAATGTTGAGGCAATTATCAAGACTCCTTGGAATAACAGCCTAGATTCAGTAAGAAAATCTAAACAGAAGAATATCTAATACTTGCATGTTCAGTATTAATCCAAGAGCAGAAAGTGAAAATAATGCACCACAAGTTCAAACATTTTACAACACAAACTGAGAAACATCAAAATAAAACCCTCAAAGTTTGGAAACAGTAATCTCACTTCAAAGCTAGTATCAATGCCTTCCAGGTACACCTGGTATTTTCACAACTAATTTTTTTCCAATGGTACATTGGAAATGCTCAACGAAGAAAGGATGTTGCATATCCAAGTTGTACAGATCAGGAAGTGATAAGAGTAATTAAAATGAAACAGGTTGCCAACAACAAACCTTATACTTTTTCACAGAAATTAATAGTCTTGAATCGTTTAACAGACGCTTATTCAAGATCAAATGTAGAAAAGAGAAAATAATCGCAATAGTTGAATTGGAAATTTTCATTGTATAAAGTTTGCAAACTCTCTAACACAGCAGTTAACATACCATACACAAGCAAGCATGTGTTATGGTTAACAAAGTGAAGGTACAGACCTTTTTTTTAAGTTCCAAGATTGAGTGTTTCTTCATTGCAAAGATAGCGAGTTTATATAATTGTTGTGTTTGGAAATCATCTGGTACATGTTGCGATTTTACCGATGTCAGTGATTACAATTATTAGTGAGGTATTATTTTTTTTTGAGTTAAGATGGATAGCATGATTGCCTGCTTTGGTCCACTACTAACATATTCAGATCTTGGAAAATATAAGACATTTTGAAATGACATATTCAGAAAAGCATAATTTAACCCTGTTTTCACAGTGAATAGTGATTAAGTTGTTTTAGAATTTGTAAACCTCTCTCTTTTTTCATTAGCTTGAGAATGAATACAGAATAACATGAAACAATATGTTTGTTTTCAATATTCCAAATAGTGTTTGTATGTGGTTCGTTTCTATGCTAACTTCTTAACTCTTCCTTTTGTGTGATTGTAATTACTCAGTTTAACTACAGTAATTTTTTATTTTGCTTATAACATATCCTTAACAGAGTAAAAATCCTCTCAGAGGACATATCATTGAACATGTATTTCTTCACTGCATCCTTCATTTTTTAATCACAGTAATCTTCACTGGCATCCACTTCAACTTTAGCACCAACAACTGTGGCAGTAGCAATTTTCACATAAAGGCAGAGGACAATAAAGAGTTTTTCCGCATTGTATTATAAACTCATCCTACAGCTATTCACACAAAGCTTTTCCAACAGTTAGCAGAATGAAATCAATGACAATTTTGGTCATAACTTGAACTTGCTCGATATTGGGATGTGTACGCAAATTGTTATTTAATTGTTAGGACTTCAATTAATGTAAAGACCAGGATTAATATAACCAATTTAGTCAATTTAAAAAACCTGCAAGATTTAATATTTTAAACGCAATTTTGGTTGGGGATTAAAATTTTAATAATATTTACTTCATAACATCGGGAACGATATGGGTATAATTTTTTTTTTTACACTAGGCTACTTGTCGCTCTGGTACTTCCACAACTTTCTATGACAGAAGAAACTGAAACGATAGTAGAAATGTCACTTTACACTGTAAATCGAATACGTGATGTTAAAATATGCACAATAGCTGAACTCCAAGCTCTAACGTCCAAACGATTAGTCAAATAGACAGGTTCTCAAGTACACCAGTACCACTTGGCTGGTTGAAAATGGACACCACATTCTCATATCAATTCTCCTTTAAAAACATTGAGAGCCAACCTAACAACATCTGACATGCGCGTTTTGATTATGAACGACCTGTGAACAAACGTTTTAAGATTAACATATCATAAAAATCTTTTGGAAAGTATTTTCTTTTATGTTTTTGAAAAAAATTGCATTTTAGGGAATCGAAGTGTTATCTTTAAAATACGCGACTTTTTTCGACATGAAAATAACATTGAGCTATTGACAGATGCTGCTTGCGCCGCGCGAAATAAAAATCTTACATTATTCCACAATGAACAAAATGAAAAATACGAAATAAGTTTTCTATGAAGTATGGTGAACTTCAATTCATGAATTCATATTGAAATAGGAGTTGTTTTTCATTGAATTCTCATTCAAAATTTGAGTTAAAGTTTAGTATACGTACAACCTTAGAGAAGCGTGCGGCGGAGCTTAAGCCCTAATTACTGTACATTCTCTAATAGAAAGAGTTAAACCTACGAATAGGAGATTTTCATGGTTCGCCTTTTTATATGCTTTGTTCCCGCCGTCTGTAAGGCCAATTTACTTTCAAAGGCAAGTTTTCTCGCTTCGCTCGCCGGATCCAAGTCACGAGCGGCTCGGCTTCGGCCCGCGCGTTCTCAGCATTCCCCTGCGTCACTATGAACATCTTCGAGTCTATCCAATGCATAATTACAATTCACTTTTATAAGAAAGCACTTTCCAAGAAGCCTCCAGAAAACCTTTAATATTATTTACTCATATCTTCTATCTAAAAAGTTAGTTTACAGGCGAAATGTGCCTGTCCGTCTGAAAACCATAAGCGCGCTAATAGGTCGGTTTTTTGTGCTTTTTTTAAAATTTATGTCAAAAACAGTTAAAAAATGTGTATTTGAGCATCTTAATTCTGGGTCCCTACTCTGAGCTGTAAACAAGTTGAATCCTGAGTACAGAAAGAAATGAGCGTTTTTGGCAAAATTGATAAAAGATACGTTCTATGTCATAATTATATTTTTCATGGGCAAATCAGTAGTAGATTTGGCTCTTATCCCTCATCATGTCTTTCGTGAAGGAATATTCACCGTGTCGCGACATCGTGAACGAAATTTTGAATAACTATATTTCCATTGAACTCTTAGAAGACGTGCAGATAGTGAAGTTACATTTATGTCCAGAAGTAAAACAAAGGCCATTTCATTATTCACTGAGAGGATCAAAGAACTGGACAAAAAATTTTACTGAGATGGGGGTCATTGACCCAGAAGCTAAGGAACAAAACTAGTTGCACGTTGTTTAGTTTATGCCGTCCAAATGGTAAATAATACATTAAATATCATTGTTAAAGTAATATTACTTTCCTTTTTGATTCTCGGTGATAATATCTATTGTGTTAGCAACACTTATGCTGTAGAAAATACTTTACTTGGACTTAAAACTTTTGAATCGATTTTAATCCTTTAATGTGATCCGTAATGTGTAAAATAATTACATGTATTGCATGTGATTTTTTTGAGCATGCTGTTGATATTGTGTCAGAGATGAAGATGAACACTACGTCGATAGTTATAGACATCGGCGTTGTTGAAAAATATATTCCCACCCTTAGAAAGTTATTTTTGACAACTAATGTGTAAAAGAGACAAGCAATGGAAAAAAATCGTAGATTAATAAAGAGAGGCTTACAAGAATCATTGTGGGTGGAGTTCACGGTGTAAGATATTTCTTACACGTGGTGGTGAATTTGCTTAATGTTCGTACAATTCGTCTTGTGATGTCATGGGTCTTCACATCGTCGCTGGATTCATTCGTCTCTTAAATGGTAACCTAAAGCATTTTACTCGGTGCACATCCTTCGCCAAATTTCTCCTAACCTCGTCCACGTTGATGTTCATTCTGTTTCAAGACTTCATTCAGGTGTTATGTTGATGGCAAAATATTTTCAAGATAAATTTGCAGCGTTTTGTGACGATGTCACCAAATTCACTTGAAGGGTAGCACCAGCTTCTCGACGCATAAGTCCAGTACATACAGAACAATACAGACGGTATCTAGACTTCATCTTTTTCCAAGAGACACGGTCTTCAAATGCTGACACTTCGTTCATCAAGTCTCGGGGAAACACTTTCTATGCAGCTGTTTCACGGAGAATAGTGAGCATTTTGCTTCAGGAGCATACAGAACATTTTTAAGAACAGCATTCGACCAAGCTTATTCAAACGCACTTGAATATAAAACATTTCCCTATCATGAGCCAGCATATTTTACACCTCGTTCCGGAGCGAGATCTTTGCACGAACTGCAAATTTCTCATACGAAGAATATACATGTAAAGTTATTCGTGCGTAACATGATTTGTGGCGCCACTGCCACATTGACAACTTGTCGGCATCACAAACACTATAGATCTGAGGACCCTTGACATTCATAAAAAATGAAACACCATCAAAGAAATTAAGGTTTTAGATTAATAGAAATAATGTGCTGAGCAAATTTAGATCAAGTGGAATTTGTGCAGCAATGATGTGTCCAGTGAGAGCGTAGGCTTCCATGGCAGAGGTGCCGACGTTTCGTCGCCATTCTGCGACCTTCTTCAGGCGTAATGAAGTGGGCAATTAAATAATGTGGTGTGTCCAGATTTACTGCACTGTCGAAGACCGAGTAGCAATGAATCAATGGTGGGGTGAAGGTCAATTAACCACTGTCTAAGAACTAATAAATAATAATATTATTACACTGATGAACAATGGTGGACAGGGGTACAAGGAAATCACTTTCAATCTCCTGTGATCTATCACCATCACATCCATCATCGATCATCTGCGGAGTCATCATCAGTCTGTCACTATCATTAAACACAATCACTAATTTTATCTGAATGGGATTCAGCAGTTTTAGAAAATTAACATTAATTCAATTCAGAATTTTTACAATTTTTTTTTTTTTTCTTTTCTGTTCGTTCATTTTATTTTATTTCATTTTATTACAATACACTTTCATAATTTTCATATTTGTTTAAAAGAACAATAATACATTATTATTTACAAACATTAAAACTATAATTATATACACTTTTATTCAATAAGTGCAATTTATTCCCCCAGAGAATGAGCAACTGAGTTCATGAAGAGAGAGGCCTTTCATTATCAATTACTGAAATTTAAATAACACATTCTTTGAAAATTATGTCACTTTTTACTGAGGCAAAAAATTGTGATTTGCTGCAGGCTTGGGACCTGAAACAAAATAATTTTCAAGATCAAATAATGAAAATTTATTTATCAATATCAAATGACCCACAAAACAGGAGAAAGTTAATTCTAAAATTCACTTTCTTTCACAATGTGTAGTATAAAAACAATATGATCATACAACATCTCGCTGATTTTGTAAGAACAGCAATATATTTGTTTTACACCAGAACACCATTGTAACTGGATAAATTAAATGGAAAAGAAGGGAAACAGCGGGCAACAAATCAAAAACAAGTAGTCAGAAAAAGAACACAATTACAGTAATACCAACAATTTAGCGCATCCACATTGAGTCTTAATTGAAAGTTGGGAAGACATGAAGTGAGGAGAATGAATTAAATGAAGGAAAGGGGAATGAAAAGCTTAGGCATTTGATGAAGACAAGGCAAAGCTAGGTACAGAGATGTAAAATCATATTAGTGATAATCAACTACTGGTGCTGCAGAATGGCATAGACTTTCTGTAATTAGTTTTCTGTTTCCTTTGATCTCAGCTAGCTATTCAAACTTGCCACACACTCTTGCCTGCTGCCATCTATCGCTGCCAAAAGTACATTTCTTTTTTAATCATCTTAATTTTTCAATTTTCTAGTAGTACATCAGAATTGTTATGTTAAGAATATTAAAGAACAGTAAAACCTTCCCCTAAATGGCAATTTTCTTTTAAAAATTTCAAGCTGTTTCTAAGAAAATGGCGCTTATGTGCCACAGTAAATTCGATATGTGAAGCACTTTTTCGCAGATAATTTTTGAGTTTTTGAAAAACTTAATTTGACATCATTTGAAGCATTTTAATTCACAAACACAACAGTGTTTACAAATTGCTAGAAATGTGCATATTAACGTATCTTTAAGGAATAGAGAGATCTTTAAAAAACAAACATTCATGTAATTTTTTAAATACAAAACGATTCCCTGAAATGAACTTTATGTCATATTAAAGAGTGCAATAAGCACTATCCTTTCATAAAGTTTGAAGAAAAAAACTTTGACACAGTTTTTGAGCAAGTGGCGTTTGAGCATTTCTGAAAATGCAAAATTTGGAGCTAGTTTCCACAGAACACCATTGAGTTTTCGAAAAGCTTTATACGACAATATTTAAAACACTTTTACTCATAAACATAATAATGTGAACAAACTGTCTCTATTGTAAATATTGACAACATCAGAGACAAGTCAAAAAAATAATTTTTTGTAATTTTTGAAAATCAAAAGAATAGATCAATATGGCGTTTAAGTCATCTTATAGAGTGCATACAACACAATCCCTACAAAAAGTTTAAAGAAAAAAATTTGGAGGTGCTTTTGAGAAAATCTTATTTTTTTTAATTGCACATTTTGCAAACACTATTACTGGAAAACTACTAAAATTTTTAGAAAAATATACTTGACATTAATAAAAGAACTGATTATGGAAAACTAATTTCATTTCAAGGAAAAATCTCTATCTTCAATTTTGTTGATGTAGGAAGACGCTGAAAAATTCAGTTTTGCAATTATCAAAAATTCAGAGTTATCGGTGAAAATAGGACTTATGCCACCGTATGTACATATGTGGGAAAGTAAAAAAGAATCCATAGGATTCGAATTATAGAACATAACATTGGAATTAATCTTTAAGCAATGCTCTATTCACAACATTCTAAAATTACTGGTACGTACTAGAATTCATAGTTCTTTACTTTTCATATTACTGAAATTTTCTTCCACTTGCTAAGCAATTCAAGATTTTTTGAGAGTACCATACACCACTGCTGTAGGTCCTTGCTTGTATCTGTAGAGAACAGGTACCTTCAATAAAAAGAAATAAATGAATTATTTTTTTTTTATTCAAGTGTTTCATTTTTATATGTTTAAGATCAAATACTTTACAAAAGCAAAGTCAAAAAAATTTTGAGAAAACAAAAATTTCAAAATGTGTAAACAAATCAAAAAGAAGTAATTTAATATTTTATGTTTATGTTAAGTTCTTTGCTACTGCCATACTTTTATCCCTTACTTCACTGTTTGCTTCTCTGAATGTAGCATTTCACTCATTTGATTGTTTTCACCTCTCTTCAAAATCATTTCCAAAAGGAATGATTTGGGTCTTGTGCAAATAGATTTGTCCAGGGCTTCTACTTTTGCAGATACACAGTGTCTTAAGTCCCACACTTTCAATGGAGGCTATAAAAATAAAAAAATGGGCTGAATAACCATTGTATCTAAATTATGCATTGAGATGAATTAATTTCTTCAAAAGCCTTGAGAGTGGTAACTAGTCAACAAGCATAATCATTTTTCATCAATCTCAGATAACCTTTTTTTATATCTTTTCAATTTTAAAAACAAAACTTTCTTAAGAAACTAGGTGGTGTTTTAACACCACATACTTTCTTGCATTATTTTGCAACTTTTGCAATTTTTGAAAATTCAGAGTTTAATGAAAATGAGACATGGGCTTTTTTTAAGCATCCGTTGCTCTATTCTAGGGGGGCAAATTACAGAAATAATCTGTATCAGTTTTTGAGAAATTTTAAAAAAGCATTAACTTCAAGCAGAAATTACATGATAATTACGTTCTTTTTTACAAACATGTACATGACCTTTTTTCATCATTTGATTTTTCAGAATCAAGGACCCAAAAAGACAAATTCTGACTACACAACATGCTAAAGGAAGTAATGTACTACACATAGCAATATGATTCAACTATATTTTCATTACCAAGGCCTGGCAATAATAATTTTTCGAATAAAAAATCTCTGATTTCCAGTGTATTATTTCAATACTTTTTCACCTTTGTAAGAAGATAAAGTATTTTAATCATGGGCTGGAAATAGGTGATTTTTCATCAGGAAAACTAGAAAAAGTTTGATTTCAAAGAACCTTTTCAGTTAATTTAAGAAATATGATCAAGAAAAAGAGAAATAATATTTTTAAGAGCATAATTACATAATTTACTTATTTTCAAAATATTATGATGCCTGCATTAGTTACTCAGAAAAATAGTCAGAATATCTATACACCTCTTTTGGTCCATTCTGTGTTTTTATACACTATATCATGAATCATTTTACCATATTTTCTCTGTCAGAAGGATAATTCCAGCATTTGAGGATGCAAGCTTCCAAGAAACACCATCTTCGTTCCCAAGTGTGATATTCTCCAAAGTCTTCTCTAACTGTCAAGAACCCCGATATCTCAACTTTTGATTCAACATCCCAGTTCAGTGTCATTTGCATTTGTCCGTATGGAAACTACAATCATTAAGAATAATTATTTTATATATTATAAAATGTAAATGGTCATTATTTATATTGTTGAAATATTACTTACTTCCTGTGAAATATATGAAGAGTTCAAATTGTCCAGTTCTATAACGAATGAATTTTTCAGAACAAAGTCAGGTGTTTTAAAAATAGCCTGCCTAGTAAAGATTGGAGAGTCCATTAATAAATGAGAAGAATTTAACCTTCGAGATCGTGAAGACATGTTAGGCAGTAGCTGAAATAAAGAATTTTAATAAGTAGTACAATATTATTGAATTTTAGATTTCACTTTTAGTGAATTTATATTAAGTTTGGTCTGACAGTCTTACACAATGTTAAAATTTCCTTATAATCCTACATTAAAAAAACATTCTGTAAAATTTGACACGGGTTTATTAAAATATGACTGTTTATTCACATTCTCTTGATTATTCAATACCTAGTTCTCCTTCCAAGAGCATTAAATATTCTGTGAATGACTTGTAAAAACATGTTACTCTATATGTAGGTATATCATTGTATAGGAGAAGTCAAATACATTCCAGAGAGCTGAAGTAATTGCATGTGTATGTGTCTATTCAAGTCAAGATACAGCAATGAAAATATTTAGATTTTTTAATGTAACATCCAGTGCATAAGATTGTCAATAAAAAAATTTGGACCAAACGTAATGCATATCATTCTTAAGATACAGTGTTATGTACTTACTTTCTTTAAATACTGTTTTGGCATACTGTTTACTTTTTTGAGATGTAAAGTAAACAGCTGGATATTAATTTTGAAGTTATTAAGTAGATTATTAAAAGTAAATGTATTCTGAAATTTCACAGTTTGGTCCTTCTTCAGTAACTTTGCTTCAGTTGCCATGACTTTATCCTCGTAAGATAGTAAGCACAAAACCCACACAAATGACTCTTCTGAAAAGTAAAAAGAAAGATAACAAAAGGAAAAAAATGGAAATACTTTATTTTCATTTTTGACCTTTGTATGTTATTTAGATAGGGTTTTCTCACAAAAATAAATCAATTTTAGTCTTGTTTTTAATCATAAGTTTGCAAGTGTTTCAAGAAAATCTGGAGTTTGGAATTATTCCTCATATTTTACTGTCTGTCTCCATAATAATTACACAATGATGACATTTTTCAGAATGGAGGGAACATAATTCTCCTAAATTTCATTTGCTGGAAAAGTACCAAGAGAAATCTTAAAAGAACAATGACACAGAAAATATTGTCAAATGATTAGGAAATTGACTAAGCTTGTAGGAAAAAATGTAGCAGAGGAAATATAGGTCTATTAATTACTCGCAGGTTGCAAACAAGTGTTGGTAGTCCCTCAACATTTTGCAGGTATTTGATGTATATGAAATTTCTTGCACCCAGAAACTGAAAAGTCAGCATATCAGTACATATTTCAATAACAATTATATGCAAAATATGAATAATTGTGCCTTCAAAAACTAATATTTACTGACATTAAGTTTTCTGAAAAAATATCTTTGGAATTACTAACAGTTAATCATTTAGTAATTCCATTTATCAGGCCTGTAATTATTATTCACAAGTCTCTAATTATTGTTTCTCAAGGGTTCTGTTTATCAAAGCTACGATTTAGTTGAGAAATATTACCATTATGTCCTTGAGGGTATAGTGGTTGACTGAAAGAAAAGAATAAGTCAGATATTGTCACAGTTCCTTTCTCTGCTTTTAAGAGACATCCGTTTCTGATGTCTGTTCTCAACAGATCAATTTTCTTCCTCGTAGCAGCATATTTATGCACTGAAAGAGAGTTACATATGTAAAGTACTATTTATGCAACATGTATTTTCAATAATAATAATAATAATAATAATAATAAAAATAATAAAAATAATAATAATAAAAATAATAAAAATAATAACAATAAAAATAATAAAAATAATAATAATAATAATAATAATAATAATAATAATAATAATAATAATAATAATAATAATTCAATTACAACTCTTCATGCAACTTACAAGAAAGTAGAAGTAGTTTCTCACACTCTACCCTTTGAGGAGATAATCTGGAGAGTTCTGATGAGCAACAATAAGACAGTGCTTTTGTTACTTGCTGGAGGATATTCTTTTGTGAAGATACCTGAAACAAAAAATAATATTTTCATTTTAGATTAAATTTGAAAGGACTTATTTTTTAATTAAAATTTAAACATTGTTTTACTTACTTCATCTTGCAAAGTTTCAACATACTTCAATATTCTTTCCCTCTCAGATTGTTTTAATTCCTGTACATAAAAAGTAATCGATGGAACAGGTGGTCTTCCTTTCTGGAAATTTTAGAGAATTCATATCAAAGGCATTTGAACGATCACCTGTTTAAAAGTTTTATGAAATTTCCCAATTCTTACTCGTCTTTCCTGAGTTATTGCACGGTATCCACAGAGAGTATGGAATGGATATTCAGTGCCATTTGCTGATCTACTTTCATCAAATACAGGTTTCTTTTCAATAAAATTATCATTTATTTCATTTTCATCATCATCATCACAACTATTTAGAAGTGCACTACCAAGTGCTTTGTGAAGAAATGAATTCATGACTCTCACCGTTTCTATATCTATCTGGGAGGAGAAAAGAAAATTAGCATTATGTTTTGATAAACATTGAGAAAAGGTATAGCATCTCAGATGATTTACACAATGACATACAAAATATACTAATCATTTTTAATGCTCACTTTTGTGAAGTGAATCTCTCTTGCTGCTTCCCTTTCAGTCATAAATTCTGGTTTAGTACATGTTACCTTATTTACAGTATAACTATTATGTTCTGTCTCTGAAAAAATCAATAAGAACCAACATATATCTACAACATTTTATTATTAAAAAGTGCAAAGAAAATTCCTGAAGATTATCTTTAAATTAATTTGATTCCTTAAAAAGTAAAGACTAATAAAAGTACTACAGACAGATGTCCATTTTTGTTGTTGTTTATGTTTTTTTATCTAAATAAATTATTAGTTTAAAAAAATTAGAGCAAGAAAAGTTTAGAAAATTCATTTTCAGAATGTCAATCACAATGATTTTAAAAGTTTGAACCATCATTGCTCTGTTCGTACTTCAAGGGAGCTGTCAAAATTAGTTGTCTTTTTTTTTACAGGACAGTTCACAATCACTGCATCTCTGAGACACTGAAAAGGATAAATAAGAATAAATGAAACAAAAGTGAGATCACAGCATCGGCATCTTTCCAGGAACTGTTAAAAGATGCAGTTACTCTCAAGAACTTTTAACAATCTTTTCACCTTATCATTACATCAGACACTATAGCATGACATCATAGCACATATGTACAATAATACTACAACTTGATAAATACTACCACAATATTACAATTTAGAATTAGTACTCACTATTTTTATTATGAAATTTCTGCAGACTTCTGTTGTAACTTCTATTCCTCAAACGCTGAAAGAAAGTTCAATATTATATCATGTTCTCAAATAGTACTTGCCTCATAGATGAGAAATAATTAAATGAAGGAATATAAATGAAAGTTTATGGCAAAAGAAACACAAGGCAAATAAATTTTCACACTTGCAAATAATTCCGACAATTGGAGAGAGAGAAAAAAAAATAAAACAAAAAAAAAATTAAATGCAGATGTAGAAGTATAACAGATATTACCCAACGCAACTATCAAGAAATCGTAGATCTCAAAAACCCAAACGTATTTTACCTCAGAAGCCTTCTGCTCTTTCCCACGTGCAACCTAATCTGCGACAAGATATTCGCAACGGCAGTTGCAAATTCCTAGTTCTGACTAGTCTCACCTGCGAGTACACAACTAATACGTAACGAAATACCTGCGTGAAAGGGTCCATCTCCAGAAACAATGCGCGACTTGCCCCAAGGTTCTAGCGCGTGTCAATAAATTCGAGGTGATTCACGTTTCCTATCTCTAGAGTTGGAGGGGTCGTTTCGCGACATTCAATGCATTTCTTGAAGTTATCTGGACACGTCATCGGCGGGACAGCTGCCGACAGCTGGAAATGAATTGCAACATAAGCAATATAAAATGCAGAATAACAAAAGGAGAAATTTCTTTGCTTTTCTTAATTTCTTATTGTTAATTTTGTTCGCACGGCGACCGAAAAATAAGTGAAATAAATTTCTATATGGCACGAAATACGCAAGCAAGTGGAACTAATATGAATACGAGATAAAAATGCATTGAAGAATCATAATTTCAAAAATTTGAGACTTAAAAAAAAAGTATAACTCAGCACGTTTATTTTTCCGTTAAAAGCTTACGACTCAACCGGGCCTGCTAATGAAACTTCTCAGTGTGGCCAAGCCCACGGCCGCTAGTTCATAAATGGCGCCAATCTCGTTTTCTTACATATCTTTCCACTCACCAGTACATCTACATCTCAGTACCAGAGTTACATCATTGGTTACGGTTGGCAAATACAACGATATTGTTATTATATTTTACAAATTTTGTTTGGTAGATTGGTAAAGATCCCTTTAACTTACATTTGCCAATGGTTTTTAATATGGATATTTTCCTCTCAGGCGACACATAATTTATCCCATCTATTGATATTGATACATTTAAAATTACAGATACAAAATATTAATAAAAAACAAAACTTTCATTTGCATGCATTTTAATGGCATTTAGTATAGGGCCCAGAAAAGTGAGACTTCGGTTTATAGCTCGAAAGAAATAAGTACAGTAATAAATGTATTTCAATAAAGTAATAAATGAGAAGCAACAGGTCAAAGTATACTAACTCCACAATTAATTTCAGTTTAGTTTGAAAGGATACCTTAACATGTGTTAACTTTCTGAATGAACATCAAAGATATACGAAATGTCGCCTCCGACTGAAGATACAAATTCTTGTGATATGACACTTCATCATGCATTTCACTTTGTATTGGAGCTATTGCCCATCAAAACATCACTAGAATAAAACTCAATATCAATAGAATATGAAGAATAAAACGTTTATTTATTTATATTTTAGTCCGCGAATTGGTCAACAATGCGAACAACGCGAATATCAATTGTACCTACCGCGAGGACCAGCTATATTTTTTCCTGGAAGTAGAACGTGCGTGACTTTATTGGTGGGTGAGCATTTTCGTTTAGATATCGAAATGATAATTTTGATGAAATGAACAATCACAAACATACACATACACACAAGAACAACCATGTTCGAGGCGGGACTCAAACCTGCTTGTGGCTTTAGTTGAAGACCGCTACGGCACTACTGCCTTAGCAGTCTCGGCTACCCAGATAGGCGAATAAAACGTATTAATATTGTTTAATTTATTTACAGTATATCTATATTTCAGCAGCATAGATAAGGCCTACGTTTCGCAATGTCACACCAACTACTCTTAACAAAGGAAGTGTTGAAAAAATAGATTTTCAAAGAGAGGTGGAAAATTGGTTCACTTTAATAATGAATATTAATACTTGTTGAAGAAACTTAAAACCAGCAATACTTTTGGGATATATAAAGTTTATTAAGTTAAACGTACACAGCTCTAGAACGGCTGGCATTAGGGCTTTTGTGGCTCAGGGTATCAACTGATGTCACTGTAGTGGCTATGAGCGGACTGTTCTAGGGGTCGAATCCTGATTTTCCATTCTAGCCTGTAGAAAGCCAAGACGAATTCAGCCGTTGTCTGAAGGACAATTTTAGCGGCAAAATGCTCTGATTTCTTTCTCTCGTGGTTTCCAGCGAATGCCGGAGCAGTTCCTAACAAACGCCATGGACCGCGCGAGAACTTTCCTCCCTCTATCTTGACCTATCCCCACCCTTACATATACTTACTCTCGCACTACACTACCACACTTGCCGGGAGATCGGTCGGGAGCTTAGATCTTGTATGATTCATTGTTAGTGATTCCGGAGACGCGTCAACTGCTAATGTCACTAGTCCCCCAAGTTTAGTGCACGTTTTCGCTTCGGGAAGTAACAGTGATCTTTCCCCGATTATTGGCGAGATCCGGCGCTGACCTACATGGCCTACGTTTCCCCAACCATATATATATATATACACACAAAGGCCTAAGTTTACTGTCACAGCCATACATAATCTGAATTTGAAAACAAATGGACCCAGTGACTTACGAGGGCAATTAAAATGCAATGTTTCGATGAAATATGCAACTGCTACTATTCACCCTACTAGGTGTGCTAATAGAAAAAAAAAACTGGCCAAAACCTGCCTCCTTTTCCTCCACATTTCAAGATTTGAACATAGAATGTACTGACCCTGTTAAATTATATGTAGTTGCTACCATAATCAATATCATGCACTATAATAATATTATTATAAATAGTAGCAGTAAAAAGACAACGTAAATTTTACTTCTACTTTAACCATGAAACTGTACAAATCTTGAAATATTAAATTATTTGCTATTAAAAATAATTATGTACTGTATAATATCTTAATTTATCTGTAACACGTATTGTAGTATAATTTATACGCCAATGACCCCATCTTGATCAGGTTTATTGTTCAGTTTCTCTGGTTCCTTGAGCAAATGCTGAGTCGGTCCCTTGTTTCTCTTCTTGACCGTAATGTAACTTCACTCTCCCCTACCCAGACATCATATTGACTAGACATACAAGATAGTAATTGTGTGTAACTCAATAAATATTTTTTATTATTATTATTTCCAAATACCTCACGATTATTGTACGTTGGTCTTATCACAGACACACCCAGAGAGTATATACTAGTCTTTAAGATGATCGAAAATACACCAGAGACACATTGAGACACAAAACACACCAATCTTAACAAAGCTTCGACAAGGTCGAACCCTCATGGTCTTGAGAGTTGGGGCTTAAAGGGTTAAGTAATACCGTGTTTTGCAATTAGAAGTGTGCAGTATGGTATTTCTCTTATATTACTGTAAATATTAACTTTTTTTTATTAAACATTTGAAGCCAATTGTCAGTCAATTGGATGCTGGTTTCATGCAAGGAAAATTCCGCCAGAAAGTATTTGTTAGATGAGGAAGGATATGTTACAAGAATGAATACTTTGAACTTATGGGACAGACATTTTGTAAACACAATCAAATACACACATATTTAAAAAATAGATAAAATTTATTAGTAAAATGGATAAAAAGTTAAAAATTCATATAAACTATATCTTACAAACATGGTACATTTCTACACTTTTCACTCTATTTACATATCAAATATTTCTACAAACACGTTTAATAATTTCTTCTATTTTGTAAATTCTTTAATAAAATATTTCAGTATGTTAACAGGGAAACAGAACTTTCTCTGACATGCAAGCTTATATCAATATCACAAAATACAAGAGCATATATTAAAGCAACTTATTTACAAGGAAAATCTCATTCGTTGTCTGACTGCATTATGCAGGGAAGGTTTAAAAGCATGTTTTTAGTAAGAATACACATTCTTACAATTTGTTTTAATTTTCTCTACCTCTCTATGGCACAATACTAAGAGTATCTTACTTTTAAAGAAAACAACTGCATGGTTTTCATAAAATATTGTCTCCTCACAAGAAAAGGGAGAGAACACAAATTATGACTAGGAACTAATAATAATTAAAAGCATCCAAAATACTCTTTGCAAAAGACAGACAACATAAAATGTCTGCCTCACGGATGCTCTATATTGCAAGAGACAACAAAAAGGTAACACTCCAGTCTTTGTCAATGAAAAAGTAATGCCTTAAAACTGTTATGTCTTTTGAGCATTATGAATTCTGTGCAATTCATTTACGACGCACGTAATTGCACTGGTCCTATTGAGGAAGTACTTTTTTTGGACCAGTTCTGGAAGCGAGGTGGAGAAAGGACTTGCTTGAGAAACATTGTTCTTCTTTCTTTTAGGCTTGACATATTTGGTTTGCTACCAATCTGATTAACATCACAATTTTGAGCTAATGAACTAGATCGACTGGAATCCGACCGATTATTCTGAGATTTCAAAAAATTATTCCATTGATGTATCCTATGAATAACTGCAGGTGTTTCATTTGAATTACTGACAGGTACAAGAGCTTCCGTTGATCCTGCAAATGTCTGTGAATTTGATTCGTTATCCATAGTCTCAGGACTGGATTCAAATCCAAAGTTAACTTTACCTTTTTTAGTCTTTGAATTATCACTTTGTTTTGTTTCAAATTTCTCCTGAAGAGATAAAAATTTCCTATGTGCTTTACTGTCTGACTTTTTTATGTCAAAATTGTTTTTGAATGCAAGAGGCATTGTATCAGCAAACATATTTTCTGTTACATCATTATTACAAGAAAAGCCCACACTCATTTCAAATGAAGTTGAATCATTACTATGATCAAGCTTATTTCCTGGACTACCTACCAGAACAGAATCTGATGGTTTAAGTTTTGAGAGAAAAAGAACTTCTTCAGGAGAAAGGTGAGAAAATGACCCCCCTGAATAAGCATTTTCATAAGCATGATGGCCCATGTTATTTTCACACAGAGAACCATTTTGCTCATTCAAAACATTCAATGAAGGATTTCCACACGCACCCCACAGTACTTCTGAAGAATTGTATAAATTACAAATAGAATTTCCTCGTATTTCATCAATTGTGGCCACCAAAGTACTAGCAGATCCATGCTTGTGCCAATATCTAACAGAGTCACTTGTATCAGTACTAGTCTCTTCTATTTCCTCCATAATAGTATCCAGGGTTGTAAGAGGAAATAAGGTGCCATGTTGATCAATTAAATATGGTCGAGCCATATACAGATTTGGGTCTATTTCTGGTTCAGCAGTAAATTCAGCTAAGGGGCGATCACAAGCAGCAAGATCGTCAGCAAGGGTGTCCAAATAATCATCTTGACGAGAGCGGGTGGTGCGAGGTCTTCGGCTGGGCAGAGGTGGAGGAGTAGAACCACGTTCACCACTGGCAGCACTCTGTTCAGATGATGCTGATGTGATTGTGGTCACAGTACTAGTCAGTGTGTCTCTCCTTCGATCGCGCACAACACTATCATCATGCAACCATGTTTCAATGTCTGAATAGCCACGCCATGATCGCAACCCCCAAGCTTCACGAGCAATGTTTACAGCACAAATATTTTCATAATCATGAGCAGATAGTACTTCACTTGGTGCAGAGAGAACTTCACTGACAGCCTCTTCATTTGCAACTAAACGCAAGTCTGTGGTCTTTAAACCTTGAGTTGAAGGTCCTTTCATTAGATCACACTTAAAATCACTATCACTGAAAGTACTTTCTTTTCCATCTACGGCATCTAAATTAACTACTACATGTTTGTTTTCAGTATTAATAATATTTTTAGCATCTTCTTCTAACTCAAGACACAAATCAGCAGAGGAGAGTATACCTCGGCGTTTCTGCTTTCGTATCTCATCACTGCAGTCAACATCCTTTGCACATGGCAGAGTAATATCAGAATCCATTCCAGGCAGGACCATTTCAAGATCCAACTCCAATTCTGACTCAAGAGAACATATTCCTCTTCGTTTATGTCTTTCATCACAATCTAACATTATATCTTTATGACTTATTATGCTTATTTCTTTTGAATCTTCAAGTTCTAATTCCAACGCTTCGGAGGAACATATCCCCCTTCGCTTCTGCTTTCGAATATCATCACTGTTGGGAAGTGTAGAAGAGCTTTCACTATTTACATTAAAATCTTCTTTAACACTTGGTATTTCTATATCAGTTTTTACACTTTCACTAGGAGTAGTAGTTGGGCAAGATACCCAATGATTCAACAGAAGTTTCTTGTCAGTGCATGAATCATCAACATTAGTTGAATCTTCATGAGTGGCATTGTTAAGCCTGGAAATTCACAAAAACAAGCACATTTAATGTTGTTTAAAAATCATTGTTTCAATAATGCTTTCATATCTGATATTTACTAATTAACAATCACAACTCCTGTATACCTTTGTGGTGCATCCCCATGATCCAATGTTCCACGTCCTTTAAGGGATCTGTAGCCAGGATCTTCCCCTGGCAAAACTGTGGTACAAGTTTCACCTACAGAAGTTCCTCCTACTTGCTGTCGGCAAAGAGCCACAGGCACAATAGGATGAAAGTATCGATAATAAAGAAGCATACTGGCCAAACCTGAAAATTCAAACATGCAACATACTTTGATAACATATTTTTTATTCCTAAATATAACTATTTAGAATTAAAAGTTTGAGATGTTAATATTTCATGATATGCAGTTATTCATTTTTTCCCCAAATGCTTGTAATAACTTACAGAATTGACGTGAAAAAAGCTCGTTCATATTAAGCATCACACACATACACATACCAAACAACCACAAAATTTCATGAATACAAAATCCTACATTGCATCTAATGTCATTTGATTAATATTTTAGAGGTAACTTTTTTTTTTTTGGCATGGGGGCGGGAAATAACTACTAAATTTACATGACAAAAAGCTCTGAACTTATTTCAGTTTGTCTGAAGTTGTTAACAATTCCATCTTACAGGTTAAAACTATTATTCCATTCCATATCACTTCATTAGTAATGTTGATTATCAATAATGTGGAATGTGATATGCAATAAATGTTCAAACAAACAAAGATTCTAAACAATATTTATTGAAAATTAAGGTAAATATGGAAAACGAGAAAGGGATGGGAAAAAGACAAAGATGATTCAATGGACTTGCATCTATAAGAATCTAACTTACAAGATGTCACAAATGTCCATTAATTATTAAATTAAACACATTTTCAAGAGGCAAAGTAGCATCACACAACATTTGAAGGGGTGTACAATATAATCACCAAATATCCTTCTCATCAACGGTATTAATTATTCTTTATTACAAAAATTATTGTGAGAGAAAAAGTTCTGTCTTGAAAAACATCCAAAAAACAACTGTTTTATGTTAAAATATCTGGTGTTTAATACAGCCTGTTCAGCATGCCTAAATTTTCAATATTTATCAAATGCATGTAGTGACTTGTGAGTAAGGTTCAATGTAATGCAAATCATTGCATTTCTTACTAATTCCAAAGATGAGTAGTCATGCACCACATAAATATATTACCCTTCATTGAATACTTTCAACAACAACAAAATTAAACAGCAGTAACAATGTAAGTGTTTGCTGGACATGTCAACTTAAAACAAACAACATGTAAGATATAACTCTTTCACCAATTGAGAGTATTTACACTAGTTGATCAATATCAAAAACCATTATACAGTAATAATTAGGAACAATCTTCATAGCAATCCAACTCCACATTATGATAGTAAATTGATGAGAGGGAAAGTGGAAAACTGATGGTTTTAATTTTTGCTAGTGCAGGTTTCTGTAATAAATGTTGGAAATGACAATCCCATTTTTTACCATAGCAATTATCTATTAACAAGTGAATAAAACTAAACGTTTCATATCTTCTGAAATATTTGATCCTTATACAGTAATCAATTAAACTGTCCATCTTCCCAGCACTCATAGTTAAACCCCTTCTGATGCACCAACTGAGACAAATGATGTGTTGTTCAAAGTGTCTTGGTCTCCTGATGGGGAAGTAATCATTTTTTTAAAGCTCAATCCCCAATATTCCAAGAAATTTCTCTAAAAAAGTGAAGCCTTTTTAAGCAACAAAAATCCATGGCACATATAGAGGTAATCAATAGTTCATTCAATTCGTAAGATACATCAATAGGTACATTTCCTAATCAATTCCCTCTCGAATATTCTGTAAGGTGCTGTTGGTTTCAATGCACCTTCAAACACATTGGCGAAATACAGTGAATGTAATAAACTGTACTCTTTCAGGCATTTATACGAGTAGTTATGACTTGACTTATCAACCACAATAAAACCTTACCTTGCGATAAAACAAAAGATTAAACAACTATTTTAATGGATACCTTTTCAGTACCTTCCTATGCTAGGTAATGGTTGAGTCTGGTAAGAGTATTATGTTGAAAATTTATTTTTAATTTGAACTTGCAAAGCACAAATAAAACTTTTATCACACACATGTAACAAAAAGGGGTGTGTAACCAAAAAAGGTTCAAATATTTTGCTATATCTGATTACTTGGTAGTTATATAAAACTACAAAGCCATTAACAGCAAAACTAAGTGAAACTTAGTGGACATTTGTTGAATATTTAATTGCTAATTAATTACCAAGAAATTTATTTAATTGCACTTTATTAAAAAAGAAACTCAGTGTTTTTCTAACTTGATATCAAGGTAGCAAACTATTTGTGGTTTTACTTCCTTAAATAACTAAAACTACCCCCATTTTTTTGCCATTTAATTGCTAATTAATTACCAATAAATTAAGTCAATAAAATAATGCTTTTACAACTTTATCAACAGGGCAGCAAAATATATGGCAATTAACTAATTTTGTGGTAATTAATTAGCAATTAAATGACCAAAAAATGTCCACTGTTTCACTCGCGTTTGCTGTTAATGGCTTTGTAGTTTTATATAACTTTGCCTGGCATTGTGTGGGAATTTCTTTACTGCTCTGCATGACAACAATACAGTCTAGATACATTGCAAGTTGAACCATTTACACTAAGAAAACCGTTGTGAATGGCAAAATTTGAAATAACAATTCTCAACCTTGAACACTACACACGCAGAAGCGCAGAAGCACACACAAATGCACAGAGGTTCCAGCACCTGACTCCACATCCCATTACTCAGAGTTTTATACATTAAGATTTGTTTAGCATTCAAATGATTCTGGTTCTGAGATTTTCTACATTACCTAACACAGTGCCTCCAAGAATAGTTCCAGCACCTGCTTGTGCAAGAACAGGACGTGTGTAGCCAGCCAATGTAATGAACAATCCCAGACAGCCCAAGTTCTGGGCAATAGTGATGCAGTAGAATATAAGTGCCTTCTTTCGTGATGGTCCATTTTTGAGGTTGAAGAAGCAGAAACAGTAAATGACGCCCACTACACAATTGTAAATTCGTTCTTCCCAGACTGATGTACAGAAGTCTGTCTTTTGTAGAAGTATCCAGGTAGTCATTGCAATCCAATGGATACCTGAATGAGAGAAGAGAACAAAAAACAATTTTTTTAATTTCTGCAATTGGGTAGTATTCTTCAAGACTTAAATGACAGAATATACATAATGTCAACCATTAATATTGACTCTACCTAAAGATAGACTTTTCTAGAAAATAATATCAAGAAGAAAACTATTACAAAGTTATATTTAAAACATCCAAAATATTAACACAACTCAAAGCTACAGAAATGTGTTAATTTTATTCAAAACTTAATTTAATTTTACAAGTCCCTTTAGTGGAGGTATAGAGTTTCAGTTGCCTTCAAGCAGACTTTTCCCTCCTTTCATTAACAATGAAAAATATTTACGTACATAAAATTACTCAGGCCATTAAATGAATAGACTTTAATTAGAAGCTATTTCCAAAGAAGAATCATATCCTAGAACTCTCAAAGATATTTTCTGAAATACATTTTCAATCTCTTGAGTTTTTAATAAGAACAATATGGTACAAAACATGCTACAACAGTGCATGCATTTGAGGGGTCACACTGTACAAGACAATTGGAAGATTTGCCTATAATCAAATGCATTTTCGTTTGTTGCCCAAAAATAGTGGATAATTTTTATATTTGTTTTTTACCTACTGTTAACATTTTAACACCTGAAATGGGTGAGAATGTACGTACTTCATAAAAATAGTCGATGTGCTACAACTGCTGATATTTTCTCTCATTTGTAACAGTTATAACACATTATACAAATGCAATCCTGTTAATATGTCAGAAATCTCTTGAACAATGAGAAGGTTAAAAATGTCTTTAAAAAAATATTTAAAGATATGAGGAATAGATTGCATTACGAAAACTAGTGGTGCACTTACTTTCTTGTATTACTTGTAATAGGTTTGTTACATCAAAATACCATTTATATAACATTATTCAGAGTATTTGGTTATCCATTTACAAAAAAGAGAAAAAGAATTGTAGCTGTTCTGGAAAAAATTTCTTTTTAAAATTGCATTTATTTCATGCAAAAGTACGTGAAAACAATTCATAATTTTTAAAAATTGTGCAAATCCTAAATGAGACATGTAACCTTGAAACGAAGAAAAGTATATCCATCTTCAATAATGTAATTATTGAAAGAAGTGAAAAACAAGTAAACTTTAAAAGTTTTGAAAATTAAGAGAATTTAAAAAAATAGTCTGCAGTATTTTTATAAGTTTTATAAGTATTCAATATAATGTTGTGATTTCATGAAAAGTAGCCCTTCCCCCATCTGTTTCCAATTCAAGGAGCCAACATCAGCCAGATCAATCTAGGAGTAAAAATTTTGGTAAAAATTCATCATAAGTTTTAGGTATTATCACATAAACCATTTCAAGTTTGATGTGATGTAAATGCAACACCTAGGCACTTGTGACCAAGGGGATGTTTATTTTCAGGGTTGATAGTCGAATTCCTCTAGGTTCACAAGAACACACACAAACACACACATATTATAATTTTATATAATATTATAGAGAGAGAGATAGAGAGAGAAAGAGAGAGAGAAAGAGAGAGAGAAAGAGAGAGAGAAAGAGAGAGAGAGAGAGAGGAAAGATGTGTTGGAGAGAAGAGAGAGAAAGAGAGAGAGAGAAAGATACTGCTCGGAGAGAAAGAAGAGAAAGAAAGAGAGAGAGAGAGAGGAGAGAGAGGAGAGAGAGAGAAAGAGAGAGAGAGAGAGAGAGAGAGAGAGAAAGGACGAGGAAGAGCAGCAGCAACAGCAGCTGGATGATGAGGAGCAGGAAGAAGAGAACCAGCAATAGCAGCTGGATGATGATGAAGCAGGAGGGGGGAAGCAGGAGGGGAGGAGCAGGAGGGGGAGAGCAGGAGGGGGAGGGAGGAGCAGCAGGAGGAGGAGGCAGGGAGGAGGGGAGGAGCAGGCAGGAGGAGGAGGAGCAGAAACAGCAAGCTGGATATGATGAGGAGAGGAGGGGGAGGAGGAGCTGGAGGAGGAGGAAGCAGGAGGAGGAAGCAGAGGAGCAGGAGGAGGAGCAGGGGAGGAGGAGCAGGAGGAGGAGGAGCAGGAGGAGGAGAGCAATGGAGGGAGGAGGAGGCAGGAGGAGGAGAGCAGTGAGAGAGGAGCAGGAGGAGGAGGAGCAGGAGGAGGAGGAGCGAGGCAGGAGAGAGGAGGAAGCAGGAGGAGGGAGCAGGAGGAAGGGGAGGAGAGGAGCAGAAATGGCAGCTGGATGGATATGAGGGAGCAGGAGGGGGAGGAGGAGCAGCAGGAGGAGGAGCAGGAGAGGAGCAGGAGGGGGGAGGAGGACCAGCAGGAGGAGGAGCAGAGGGGAGCAGCCAGGAGGGGAGCAGCAAGTGAGGGGAGGAGGAGGAGGAGCCCAGCAACAGCCAGCTGGATGATGATGAGCAGGAGGGGGAGGAGAGAAGCGGAGAGGAGCAGAGGGGAGAGGACAGGAGGAAGGGAGGAGGAGGAGGAGGAGGAGGAGGCAACAGGCAGCTGGATGATGAGGAGCAGGAGGGAGGAGGAGCAGATGAGGGAGGGAGAGCAAGAGGAGGAGGAGGAGGAGGAGCAAACAGCAGCTGGATGCATGAGGAGCAGGAAGCAGGAGCAGCATGGCAGCTGGATGATGATGAGAGCAGGTGCAGGCATGAGGAGCAGGGGAGGAGGAGCAAAGCGAGGAGGAAAAAAAGCACGAAGGGCTCCTCACCGAGCAGCAAGAAGAGGCACGCCCGCAGCGACGCGCGCAGAGCAGCAGCGCGGCGACGCGCGCCGCCAGCAGCCCGCGCGCGCCACAGCGCCCGCAGCCCAGCGCCGCCAGCCCGCCCGCCGCCGGGCCCCCGCCCCGGCCCTCCGTCCGCTGGGCGGCGACGGCCCCCAGCCCCGCCTGCGCCCTCGCCTCCGCGCGCCGCCGGGCCAGCGGCGTGCGCCGCCAGCGCCACGCCAGCGACCCAGCGAGCCGCCGCCGACGCGCCTGCAACACACAACCAACTCACCCACTGACTCATGCGTGAGATACCAAAGGAGGGGATGGACAGTGAGTGAAAGGTAGTCAATGAATAAAATCAGAGAATAAATGATACAAATTATATTTCGCTATCTAGACACCAGCAGGTTGGGAAATGTCAAAAAAAGATGAGGTTACATATTGATGCTTCATGCAGGAATTCATCATCTTAACACATCAAGCCCATCTGTAAAAGGAGGACACAACGCATTCTGTACCTTACTGTACTATACCTCTAGAAAAACAGAGATTAAGAAAGAATAAAAAAGTAACACAGGTAGAAAGTCCGCCTATGAGGAAAATCCTTCCTATATTATTTCAGTTGTATACATCATTTTACTTTGAGATATCTAAAGGAAAGGAAAAATTTCATGGAGATTAGGACGAATTGCACTTTGACACTAAAAAATAATAGGAAGCATTTGTTGGTGGAAAATGAATCTAAATTGTTTACGTCCATACAACTCGGCACAGCGATTGTCACAATCTATTAGTGTAATAATAAACAGAACGCTCTAGGACCTTCCAAATCTGAAATATGGGAGTCCAAAGTTCAAAAAAACCTTTTTAAATTGTCTATCTACAGAGAGACATATTATAGTCATTCTATTACATTTTGCTGTTTTTCCGCGCTATCGATTCTGCCCACCACCACTACTAAATTTATCACCTTTGCGCCGGGGGCACAACTTTGTGACGTCCCGCATAAGAAGAGCTTAGATCCTCCAATCTGGTGCACCCGTGGTTTGCGCTCAGTAACGAAGTTTATTTGCATAATCACTTTAATTGAAAACCCAGTACTTAAATGAAGTACACGCGTAACAAAATAACTGAAACAATGAAACTTCTTTGTCCCGAAGCCTTTCAGAAAATATCCTTGACAAAATTAACCGAACATCGAAATAATTTCGGGTTTCGTTTCTTACTGCGCATGAAGAGGAAGTGCAAGTTAGCACCACCGAAGCTTAACTTGACGCACACGGCCAGAACACAAGGCTTCTTCTAACTCTGAGGCTTTTGCGCAGTATCGGGGCGCGGGATAGGCGCTTTCGCGTCGGCGCTATCGCCCTCCGGCGGAGGGTCCTGTGAGCAGAGGCGGGGAAGCCACCCACAGACAACCATCGCACTTTCGCTCTGCAGCCGGGAAGAAAAGGCCGACGTTCCTCAGCTTTGCGATTACTCCTCAAAAGATTACGGGCCGTATTTGTACAATAAGGGACCATTCGCACCGAAAGCCTAATGCTGAAAGTGTACTGAAAAACATGTACTTTAATTCTTTAACAGATAGGTTTTGAAAGGTGAAATGTTTTCGTGATTTGCTGATGCTTGTTTTTAGATCTCCGAATTATTCAACGTAATGTCTATCGCGCCCCGACCCATGTAATTTGACAATACGCAATCAACAGTTCGCCACCGACCTTTGCAGAGTACAAAGAAATGAAAATCTGCGCTATTGTTTACAGCGTCCTTCTCCTCTAGACGGAGGAAAAAATGTTAAAAACATTTGAAACTGTGTTTGAGTTTTGTTTATAAACTGCCTTTACTTCAAACGTAAAAAATTACGTACAAACTACACTCTCACTTTTTCAATAAAATGTTCATGACCTTATTTAATAATTACGATAGAGGAGCAGAGGCGGACGATATAGGAGATAGGGAGGAGTGGGGGGCAGGGGGGCAGGGGGCAGAGGGGCAGAGGGGGGAGATCGGGGAGAGAATGCGAGGATAGGAGTAATATCTTTAGATCCTCCCACTAAAAATTAGAAAACGCTTTCTAAAATGAATGGAATTGAACTCATTAAGTTCGCATTCTTCACGTTTCGAACAATTGGGAGACGCTCTCAAGGGAAGGAAAGAACCTTTCCTTTTCATTTTCGCACTTCGGCCCCTTTCCGCCCACAAAACACGCGAATAAGCGGCCTCTTTCTTACTACACTTTCAATCGAACCCATCACAATCACACATTCTTCGGCTGTTTTTATCCAGTCAGGTGAGTTGCAACCTGCTTGTCGAGAACCCATAAAAAACTCGTATCTCCTCAAAA